GGATTTCCGCTGGATTACAAAAAGAAGCCATTCAGAGACGGACAGGAGTGATTACATATGATTTCGAGGCCTTGTGTGTGTGTGTGTGTGTAAAAACAAAGTTGGAAGAAAAGAAAGGGAATGTGAGACAAGAGTTTTTATGCCCAACAAAGACAAAAGGTTAAGGGGTGGGGGCGGAGTTTGTTTCTGAAAGCCGGTGGGAAAATGGAATTCTAAGACTTCTCCAAGAACATTTCGAAGCCCCCTTATATTCATAATCAGGAGTGCCTACCAACCAGCAAGGACACAGGCGAGGGGTGGGAAGGGCTACTAGGCAGACTACCACTGGCTCACCCAGAGGCAAGGGTTCCTTAAAAAACCCAACTCTACTTTTAGCTGATCTGACATTTCTTCCTTTTATAATAAAAGTTCAACCGAGCACAACGCTGCCTGGGCTGTGCCTTCTGCCGCATCCTGTGTTCTGGCCAATGGGAGGTGAGCAGGGGTGGGGCAGGTACCTTAGGGTCCGTTTTGCCATCCCACTAGATCAGCATTTCCCAAAATGGGGGCAGCTGGGGTGACGTAGGGGTGCTGCAAGCACAGACACCGACACTCTATCCTGGATGATAGTACAGAAGTTTTTCATGCCAAGGGGGCACAAAGTCCCTGAAACCTATACCAAGCAAACCATCAGAATGTGAAGCTACTGCTTCTGGGCATCTTTCAAGGTGGCACTTCCATCTCTGACCCTTCCCTGAAGAGGGCTGGGTCGTTCGTTTATAATGTCAGAATGGCAGTTCTCTTTGTCAGAAGGGGCTTGATGGTGTTCCTTTTCGATGTCCTTTGAGGTCTGGGGACCCCAGGAGGCCTGCAGCGGCAGGATCAGGACTGTCGGGTGGGTGGGGTAAGCTTCCCCAACGGGGCTCTCGCCACACTGAGTTGGCTCGCCAAGAAGGAGCGGGTGCACTGTCACGACGAGGGACACGATCCTGCTGTCATTCTCTGGGCTTTGTTCTCACCGATGCCGTCTTCAATTCTCATACACCTTCTTCCTGACGATCAACTTGTGCTGTGAGAAAATCTATCAGGATGTTCCCTCTGGAACCCCTCAGGACTGTCACTCTCTCCTTCTGAGCTGACCCTCTGCCTTGGGCTTAAGAACCCAGCAGATCCCTGGGTTGTAGGCCATTGTTTTGACTGGACCGGTTTTTTTCAAAGGCACCCTAACAAGACTATGGCAAGTGATTACGCTGGGCAGAGAGCTTGTCTGCAGCCACCCACTGATCAGAGATGTGTAGAGACAAGTCGCTGGGAATAAACCCATGCGAGGAATAACTGGAATCCGAGCAGCAATACCTTTTTCTTTTTTTGTTACTCTTGTATCAATTGGAAAACCTACTTTCTGTTTTTATATAAACTGTTTATCTCACAGTACAAAGTTTCATTTCTACCTTGGATCAACTTGCTAAGTGAGGTCAAAATCGCTATCTTAATTTTTCCAGGACATAGCTCATGAAGTCTGAGGCAACCATTTCCCTTGGAAACGACCCCGTATTGTGACGTTCCCTGCCTTCGGAAGAAGGGAGCGGTGTCTGAATGTGGGCTCAGCTGGAGCAAGGTTCCTGAGCTAGAGGTCTATAAAGATGACACCCTTGGGCTCTCCCTGTCACCACAGCAGGTGGTTTCTCACCAGGCTGCTGAGCTGGACTGGCGGCAACAGCTCTTGCGAGGAAACACAGGGGCCCACATCTCAACCCTGGAGTTATGGATTCTGAAGATGAGCTAGGGGACTTAACAATCCAACCCTTCCAAAAATCCATCCAGTGGCCTTGATAGGCAGCCAGATTTCGGGCCACCGTTGGCAATAAAATAATTGGTAAAAAAAGTTAACAGGGATGTAGGCCTACAAACAAGTTCCCAAGGAAGTAACCTTCCAGACTCCATTCACACAAAGGGTGGCTGTTCATTTAGAGAAATGAAGGTACGTGTATAAAATGGAATGCCCTGTAGCCCATGTATTATTTTAATGTTTTCATAATTTTTATTTACGTTGAACATAGACTTGTGTCTTATGTAAAACGTTTTGAAATGGGGGAAATAGCGTAAATCTGTACTTTCTGATATGATGCAGCGTATGGAACATTCCCTACATTCTGTAAGGTGATAAGACGCAGCTATAGAAGGAGATGCACACGTGATCCCTTCAGCACTGAGGTTTAGAGAAGCCATGTGTCTGTTCAGTAGACGAGGCTGGGGAGAGGTCTGGGAGGAAATAAAGAGAACGCGGTGTTTACTGCTCTGGGGTAATATTTCAGGAACCTCATCTTTTAGCTTATTGGTATTTCCTCTTTCTTTCCTAGAATGTAACATATATGAGGAGGGCTTTCAAAAAGGGCTTTCAGCTTGAGCAAAAACCTTCATTAGCTTTCTGTCTCAAAGTCCTGGACTTTGTCCATACTGGTTCAACTGAAAAGGAACAAAAACAAGCAACCAGGGGTGGTGTCTCTAAAAGACAACATCCTTTTGCTGGGTAAGGTCCTACATAAAGTTTCCAACGATAGCCTTTCTAGAAATTCTCCGAACCCTTCCAAATACGTCTGCACGCAGGTAAGTCATCCTCTACACCTCCCGCAAAGGGCTCGGAGGCTTAGCAGTTGTGAGGAACCATTCTGCCACCTGGTGGCTGTTCCTGTGAGCAGCACCTTCCTTCCAGCCTCCTGCTGCAACCACGGGGAACTGTCCCGTGAGTTGATAATTGGGGATATGGGTAATGAAGAAGAAACCAAAATCATGGCGAAGGGAGGAAGGCATTAGTCACAAACCCGGAGCTTTTTCTCTAGGGGCAGAGGCTGACGAAAGACTTGTTACAAAGGCAGCTCCTGAAGCACTCAGCAGGACGTGCATTGGGGGCTGCTGCAGCTGGGGGGACAGGTAGCGCGGAGGGCAGGCAGCAGAGCCTGGGAAGGGCAGGCCAGCGAAGGACTCCCATTGCGGAATGAAGGCACTGGTTTCCCGCAGGAGAAAGGCTGGGAATGGCTGACGTCAGCAGAGAAGAGCGTGGCCCAAGGATTTTCCCCTCGAACCCAAAGGAACACGGAACTGAACAGAGAAGAGGTTTGAGCTGCTTGAGTATGGGGGCTGGGGAGAGGGCAAAGGAGATGGGGTAGACGATATCACGGATTGAATTGTATCCCCTCGAAACGCACCGACTTGGCTGGGGCACACTTCTCAGTGGTTTGGTAGATCTGTAATGAACTGATCAAGTTATCCTCCATTTGTGCTGAAGTGCAAACCCAGACCTCTGTACTACTGAGGCAGGACTCGCTTAAGTTTGTTGCTAATGAGGCAGGATTAGGGTGGGTTGCACCCCTATCTCACAAGAGGAAAGGTGAGAAAAGAGAGCAGGGAGAAGGAAACCTCTGGGGTCCCTGTGCTGAGAACCTCCTAGGCCCGCGGGAAAATCAAGGCCAGGACGCACGGAGACCTCAAGGAGAGCCTGCACTACAGATGTTGGAAAGACACCAGGATTTCCCCCCAGAGCGGCAGAGAAATAACACCTTCTAGAGCCGCACCCTGAATGCA